ACACACACACACACACACATACACACACACACATACATGCAAAAGAAAAAGAAAAAATAAAATTAATTGATGAATTACAATAAAAAAATAAATTTTTAATGAGGAAATATTGCAATGATTACATTTAATACATTTGTAAACTTTAATTACATTTTAAAAAAAAACACTTAGATCAGTGCCAAATTTATCTTAAAATTAATTAATTTTAAATTAAAGAGATGAAAAAAAAACAGGTAAAAAAAACACGAATAAAGCTGAAATAATAAATTATAGAATGAATTTATATCTTTTTCCATTGGAAAATTTATAATTATGCAAAATTTCAACTACCAAATAAGAATTCCAATTTCAAATACTATTTTTGAGTAAACTATGATAAAATGAAATATTATTTCAGATAAAAATTTTTGCAAAATGGATTTTGGATTTTCATTGCAAATATTTCCAAAATGGTCTGAAATTTTGCTTCAAAAATTATCCAATATAATTTTTAAATATCCGGCACCAGTTGTTATGATTGTATTGATTTCCTCCATTAGTTATATTATTTTCAAAAAAATTATCGATCCACACCTCTACGAATGCTACAGTAAATATTTTATTATTTCATAAAATAAAAATAAAACATAAAAATATAAATAAATCATGCAATTTAGGGATGTATAAACTAATGTTAAAATATCAAAAATATTCAAATATTATTCGAAAAACTATTTTCATATAATTCGAAATATTATTTTAAACGCACAAATATATTTAATTCTCTTTTTTAAGAATCAATTTTACAATATGAGGCAACATTGCAATTGTTGAAAGATGAATTGGAAAAGAATTATGAAGACTATCACTGGAACAATCCTCAGTTCTGCAAAGCTTATCTTGCGGTTTTTTTGATTAATTTTTTTTAAATTTTTTTCAAGAAAATATAAATTTATCGTAAATGAATCAGAAAAGTGAAATTGTTGTTCATCTAACATAATTTTTAAATTTTTGCTAAATTTGAATTATTTCATTAAACTTATATGTTAGCTAAAGTAGCTACAAAATATGGATGAAAGAGAAAAAAAAATTGCAGTCATATGCAGCATATCGTGAATTGCGAATGATTGCAAAACGTGATTCTCGTGGTGAAGTTGATCCGAACGATCGACGATGGATTCAATTTGATGATATTAAAATTTTTGAATAGATAATTAGCAACAGATGATATGCTATTTGGAGTATGCTTGATGATAATAATTTCTATTTGAAATTTTATTTCTTTCTTTCTCAAACAAATAAGTGATGCGTTGAGTAATAACTATTACAGTTACAATTTCGAATAACATCAATCGATGTTGAAGTTAATAATTAATGGGATAAATTTACATAATAGCATATTGCATAGTGCATATTGCATGTTGCATGCATTCGTGTTCTCATACATTTGTACATTATTATACAATGCAAGTTAGAACTGTTACAAATAATTTGTAGAATAAAAGGATGAAAGAAAATGAAAGAAAAGCTTTTATGTGTTGTAGCAAAAAAGGAAAGAAAAGAAAGACGAAAATGGTATTTATTATGCGGAATTAACAAACAGAACAAAAATAAAATAATTAAAATTAAATTTTGATGGCTGTTAATGAAAGTAGCTGTTAATTTTTTCCAGTTACCGATAGTTGAATTTAATTGGAATAAATTTATCTGATAGTTAAAAATTTATCCGAATGATTTTATTTTCTTGATTTTGTTTTAAATTAAAAATTTTCATGCAACTCAATCTTTTATCCTTATTCGTCATCCATTATAAATATCTAGAAATTTTAAAAAATATTTTCAAGCTCATAACAATAGATTAAAAAAAAAAATATTTTTTATGCTGAAAATTTTATTTATTTGTTTATTGTTTCGAATTTTAATGAAACTGATTTTGAATTCTTAAATTCTTTTTTTTTTCTTGCTAAATCATATCTGTTCATACTAGTTAATGAATTTAATGATTCAGTGATGAGGTAAAATGGATAGGAAAAGGACAAAATTAAAGTAATCAAGCACAATGTGATAAAAGAATTTGTATAAAATAAGTGATCGAATTTGAATTGAAGTAAAATGTCAAAAAGATATATTTAAAAAAATGCAAAAATATGACATATTTGATAGAGGCAAATACTTAGAAATATTTCAAAAATTGGCTTTAGCATAACACCGCCACTCGTACTTCTACGAGCCATCGTCGATGGACGAAATAATATTTTACGATTATTGAGCGGTTGCGTTGGACGCCAATTGTGTCCGGTCTTTCCGGATGCAAAATGTATCTGATAAAATGCTCTCATCTGCAAAAGTTAGCATTTTAGATAAATATGGTAATTGAAGCTTACTTATATATTTGTTTATCATTGCTGATAAAATATTCAATATTCTTAAATAAAATTAGTAATTAAACGAATGCTATTATCACTATTGCTATTATAGTCATTATAATATTCACTTTTCAAATATTCAATCCTGAAAAATATTCAATTAAACTAATACTATTACAGTATAACATTTTCTATTAGACAACTCTTGACTTTTTTTTCGGTTCTAATTAATGTTATTTAATTAGCGATATAATCAAATATCAATGTTTACTGTGAATATTAAATAAAATTAATAATTAAACTAATGCTATTATAACTATTGCTATTTTAGTTCTTATTATAGTATTCAGTTTTCAAATATTATTCATTC